TTTTGCGGGAAATAAATCTTTAACTTTGGTTTTCAACACCAGGAGGCCTCCTGCGCTTTGCCGTGACCCCGCGCCGTCCACCGTGCTCTCGCCACCCACCGTCTGCTGTGGGCAGGGTTGGCCCCGAGGCCTCTGCCCTGTGCCTTCCCTCCTCCCCCATCAGCAGAACCACTTGTCCGAGAGGCACGCAGCTGGGCAGAGGGGGCTGGCTTCCCACAGGCAGCCCATCACCCAGCTGCCTGGCTGCTCTGCCACCCACAGACCTTCCTCGTGTACGTTCACATGTGGCTTCCGTGGCAGGGCCTGTGGTCAGCCAGCTCAGACTGAGTCCTCAAGTTGTAAGACCAGTGGGTGCTCAGTGCCTGGCTTGGGGTTCTAATTGGGTGTGAACAGTTGTCCTGGAGGTGCCCTCACACCCATGGTCGGGTGGGCCTGTGCTGGCAGGGTCACGAGAGCCCGACATTTGCAGGAGACCTCTCTTGTCTCACCCGGGCTCTGCCAAGTGCTGCCTGGTGCCGGGAGGACATGGCTCCCCCTCTGCTCCCTCACCAGGGGGCACACTGGGCACTGGCCTCCACCAGTACAGCCGGAACCACAGCGGGCATGGTGCCGAAGGGCCCTCATGCCCCATGCCTGTCCCAGCTGTTGCCCACCCCTCCTCGTTAAACCTCTGCTCACAGGCTGACGTAAAGGGGGAGCCCCCAGGCGCCAGTGCATAGGACACAGTCATTTGCACAGCCAGGGGTGGGGGGCAGAGAGAGGCGGCGTTCTGAAGCTGGTGATTCCAAGCCCAGGCAAGATGGGGCACCCCAAGGTGAAGGACCAGCAGGGACAAGCACCTGGGGTGCAGAGCCTGCTCGGATCTGGGAGTCCCGCTAAGGAAGTGTGAGCTGCCCACCACACCAGGGCCCACCAGCCCTGCTCTCAGCCCACAGGTTCCTGGGTTCCGATCCATTCTCTACCTGGTTCCTTTTTTGTGACACAGTGAGTGCAACACCCCCTGCTGGGGGTCCATGTGACCTGGTCATGGGTCAGTGCTCAGCCACGGAACCACGCTGGCCAGGCTGGTTGGTTCCTTTTCCAGCTGTGATCTTCCTGGTACGATGGGTGATTTTCATTGTGTCCTGGACAGGCGATTGGATTTGAGGTTTATTCTAGCGACAGCCATCCTATTGGGCTACGCACGCAGTCCTGTGGCTTTGCATCACTGTTGGCCTCATGCCATCCGTCTGCTGTGTCCCAAGGTGGGGGGGTTGGGAGGTGCTTGGTGGTGGGTGCCCCTTGCCAGTGCCTTCACCGCCCTGTAGCCAGTGGGGCGAAGTGGGCTCCCCTTGTCGGGGCCCTCCCGGGTCCTCCCAGAGGTGGCAGGACTGCATTCCTCGGGGGCAGAAAGTGCCTGCCTGGTCCCAGTGGTCGGCTGGGCCCTCCTGTGGGGGCTGCCCTGGGGTCCCTCAGCCCTGAGCTCCCTCCTGTGGGGCTTCCGGCATTTACCATGCAGGGGTGGGAGTGGTGGGGGGGAGCTCCAGCCATCTCACCCAGATAATCCCGGCCCTGGTTCCTGGTTCCTGGCGGCCAGTGGAGCAGGGAGGGGACTCGGGAGGGGCGACTTAGCGCCCCTGGGAGCGGCGGGGGGAGGAAGAGGAG